ATGGAACTCGGTTTTAAGAGTATATCATATTAGAGCACAATAATATAAAAATAATAAAGTGTTTATGAAAAAAATTAATAGTAATAAATTATTACAACAATCATAACTATAAATGGAAATATTTATTGCATAATCTATCGCTTAAAGGTGAATTGTATATTTATGGTAAACTATTTCAATAACTTATATCTCATGCTTTGAAAGCACAATAAATGAAATATTTGTCGACAATAATTTGAAATATTTTTGAGAAATGGATTATTTTATCCTGTTTCAAACAAAAGATGTGTAAAAATACTTGAAACCTGGGAAGATATATATTGTAATTTCCAGAAACGTTAAAAATAATCTTTTCTTTTTCTAACAAAGGAAAAGAATGAACAAACTTTTGGCTATTTGCATCATTCTGTACTCTTTTTAATCATGCATATCCCGGCAAATGACTCTTTGAAATAAAATAATTAAACGCACTTTTAAAATCCGCAGTGAAACTTTGTCGGTCTGCTTTCATTATAAACCTGAGGACTAGAGATTTTAACAGCTCACAGTTTAGCAAAATTAATTCAGAATTTTAATCCATGGTATGTGTAATTTACCGTATATTTAATTATTATTTTATTACCTTTTATTCATTCGATTTCAAGATAGCGTGAAAATGTATCACCATTGGTCTTCATTTCAGTTTCCGAAAAAGTATTTCTTATTTTTTCTTTGACTGGGAAAGTTTCCTTCTTATCGCTGTGGACGAAAACTCTTGAAGTCATCTTAAATATCGCAGTTTTAAATTAAGATAAAACTTCTATTTTTCCAGTTCCAATTGCAATAAAATCTTACAAAAGTCAAGATAAAACGTTCTAGTTAAATATATGATTTCTACCAGAATTCTAGGAGAAAAATTCTTTGAGTTAGTTGATCCCCGAGTTTTGTTTCAAAACAAACAAATGTGTAGCAAAAAAAAATTGTTTAAGGTCGCTCAATTTCTGAGACATCTAGAGCCAGACTCGGAAATTTTACAGGATAATATATTTTCATTTGCTATAGAAGCTAATGCCAAAGTGAAAAATCATTTCTGTTATCATTATCATCAATCTATACGCCATGTTAGCAAAAAATGATTTCAGGATTTAAGAAAATGACAATTTTATTGCAATTTAACTCTTTTTTTCGCTTAAGGAGACAAGGATAGATGTCTTTCCAAGTATTATTAAATCCTACGATGAAACGTTATTTAAGTAATCAAAATACGGTGAAATGTGGTGAAGCTTTGTATACGGATATTACAATATTCAAATCGAAGTGACGGAAGTTATAATATAGTTTATTGCAGACAATAATTTTCTTTATGATACTTGAAAAGAGTATTCAAATCGGAGAGCTTTTTGATTTCAAGCAAGTATTTTGAAAAATATATCTGAAAATTCTTATGTTAAATTCTTCATAGAAATAAATTTAGATTACTTAAGATTTTATAAGCAGAAATATTTTGTGATCTAATTATTTATTTTAGAAGTGAAAATGATTTAATTTTAAATTATTTAGTCTCTTTCAAAATAAGTACTAGGTTGCTTTTTCCTTTAAAGAGTATTTCTTAAACACAAACACATTTCATGTCATTATTTATACGTATTTGCCGCCTGTTTAATTTAATAAAAAATCTTGTCCTTGAAATTCCCGTTTTACTAACAAACATTTAAAGCATTTTCCAAGTGTTAGTGTAAAAGTCACAGCTTCTTTCAATACCTATTTTTATCAACACAAAATTAATTAATGGCATTTTATGCTCTCGCAATAGAATATGCATTAGTTTTGCTGTACAAAAATCTTTTCATGTACTTCTCATGAAAGGATTCCAAAATAATGCTTAATTAAATACGTGTATCATATAAAATTCGGTTTTTATTCAACAAAACGGTTTTTGAACATTGAACTGCCACAGTTTTTTTGCAAATTGGAAATGGATCTGAAAATACTATTATATATTTTATCTCCGCAGCGCAAGTTCTGTGAGTAAACAACTAACATTATTAGCCGATGTAGTAGTTTCGTCAATTCCAGCTCTTTTTATTTGTCATAAAAATAATCAAAAGTGTATAAAATAGCAACTAAAAACAATTTTAACACGACACACGCTTTTATTACGATCTGAATACTTTTCAGACATCGATTTTGGAACAAATCAAATTAGGTCGACTTATTTGGTAACGTGGATTCCTTACTAAAAGTGCTGGAAGAAAAAGTGATCTTAGATGAAAATCGCAGTTTAGATTCTGTCCATGGGGAAATTTTGTTAGCTTTGGAAATAAGGGTTCAAACTAAATCTCTAAATAAGCGAATTAAATGACTGCTAACTACACTTAAGAGTTTTTCTAATTTATTTATTAGTGAACCTCGTAAATTTTGTATGTGAAAATAAGTAACAAAAACCCTAAACATCAGGGAAGTTTCACGTTTCTTCAATAAATCTTTACACCATATAAATCGGACGTCTCCTACTAAGATTCGACAAATCTAAATCAAGTAAATAACAGACTGCTACCAAATTTACAAATGAAATTGTACAAATGAAATTGTACAAATAAAATTGTACAAATGAAATTGTACAAATGCTACAAATGAAAATTTGTAAGCACGACTGCACTCAAGCCAGTTTTCTGAATACAGAGTACTTTGTTAATATTTAGGGAAAAGAAAATGAGACTAGTTGGATATATATATAATATGAATGCGTTCATATTATGTAAAAAATAACGGAACATTATCGCGTATCAACTTTTTGCTCAAATTTATTGAAGACACTTTTGCCACGTATCCAATTGAAAGAAATAAATTGATACACACTCGGCCATTTAGACCTATATAAGCCAATATACCTAATATAATGTTCGCATTACTACAAACGTAAGATCAGGAAGGAACCGTGTTACTGGTGTTCGATTTGCAAAGTCTCATTGTGTATAATACCCTGTTTCGCTGAATATATAGTGAATCCACAGCAGGAATTTAAATTCTTACTTTTATATGTATACTATTTAATTTAATTCATTGCGTTTTTAGTTTAATATGTATGTAATATATGCTTATGTTAACCAAATAAGTAAATATTAGTAATAAATTTTTCAATTTTATAAAATAAACCCATCTTTTTAATCAAATATCTTACCAGCGCAACTTACTCTGTGATTCACGAATATACTCGTTATGGCTGGATTCTGGCGACACAAAACGGTGCGCACTCTTAAACAAGGCCGTCACAGTTAACTGGTTAATTAACCTTCCTTTAGCCAGAAGTATTATTTGGTTTACTTTTAAAGAAGTTTGAGATGGCTGGTTGTTTTGCCAAAACTCACTTTTTCTTTCGAGATGCTTTAAAAGTTAATCAAAGCAATACTCTATGCATTTCATTTCTTTTTATCCAAAATCATTTTCTCAAATCTGAAACGAAAAAACTGCATGGAAACAAAAAAACTGGTTGATAATTCTATGCCACATTGACAACAAAAATCCATAGCCGGCACTGATTGGTTTTGACTGCGATGTTTGAAGGAAATAAACTTAGATAAAGGTTTTATTTGTCTATTATAATTACACTTAGTATGACCAAAAACTAGTTACTATTTTTTAATACTATTAAAAATGTCGAACAAAGCCTGTTTGTTTTGAAAATAAATCCCTTGAGTTATTACTCTACATAAGCAGTTAGGTTAGGAAGGGTAGGATAAATTTCTGTGTACACTTTTCATAACTTCTGCCATTAGTCCGTTTATTGTGCAGATTGTAATCGTTGGGCGTAGTCGGAGCTGTTGACCAGCCGCTCCCAAACTTCTTACCGAAATTTCGGATGCAGCTGTTACGTACATGCGGCGGCATTAGATTGGAAGGTGACCAATTTGTTGGTCGTAAGCACTTGTAGCAAACTGTGCCAGCGAACAGTAAATAGCTATCAACTAACCCTTGGGTAAATGTTATAACTCGGGTGTGCAAAAACGTCTTCCCCAGTACGATCAATGCCACAATGCCATGATGAAATAGCAGTACACATGTTATGGGACGAGTTGCTCAACTAACTACTTATTCTTGTTTATTACCAAACTGGTGCTCCATTGTTGACCTGCCTTGTGATGTAAATGATACTAAAACTCAAATTTCAAATAAACGTAGTACTTAAAGTTACTATTAAAATCGTAAAACCGTAAAAGTTATTGTCATCTAACACTTATGTGGAGCAATACTGTTTCAAGCACATGTATTTTACAAAATCAGAGTACAGCATATTTATGATACTCTGCTTAAGCTTGATTCCTGTCCGAGTGATACTTGCTAGTTCTGTGACATTCTTAATTTACACGAAGCATATTTGAATAAATTTGGATAACGATGTAAATCATTAATTCCCTCTTACGTCATCTTTAACTTAAATGGCCATAAAATGAACAAGAAAAATTCATACTAGCAAGTTTGAAGAAGTTTCGACCACACTCAAGTAATTAACGAATAATGTGACTGTGTGTGACACCAGTTGAATTTCGCACGTATTCATGCATCCTGTGTAATATATATATTCACTTAAAACATATTTAAATGAAAATATATATATTCTTATAGATACACCATTTGCATTGAAGAACATGTATACATGTAACGAAATATATAAAAGTATTGCAAGTGAAAGGTGATGGTATGAACTCCAGAAGAAACAAAAGTGCACTTTTGTCTAATACTTATCTGAGAAATGTTTCTTTCTCACTATGTATTTGTCTTTTCAATTCAAAAAAAGTACAAAATATAAGATGACGTTCTCTTTTTTTTTTTTTTTTTTTTTTTTGTATATGTGTGTGTCGAATGCTGCAACGCTTTATCAAAATTTCTTAGAGCTTTCATTCAATTTTCGTCTTGCATATTCGTGCAATTTTTGTTTCGTAGCTACGCACGCAATTCTAGCTGCGCATCGCAAAGCAATTTGTACTCTAAAAATACTTAAGTTTATGTTTCCATCTTTTCAGGTTTCCAGTGCAGTTGGCCGGGCGGAAGTTCTGTCTGCATTTTTCTTCCTTTCGTCTCTGCTCGCTTTTGTAAAGTAAGTCTCACTTAAATCTTGAATTATTCTCTGTATTAAAAATAATTTGCAAGCGCGCCGCAGGACCACTTTAACATACATGTCACACGTTCAGATAGAGTGTCACAGCTCGGGGCGAGAAATTTATTTTTCATGCTTGATGTATGTAACGCATGCATTTTGTCCCTCTCCGTGACACTTTTGTTGGGGGACGTTCTCTCAATTTGCTCTTGAAGGCCAGAATTCTTCCCAAGCTATACTGTTAAGAACAATCTCCGAGATTGTTACGCATATCCTTCACTTTTTAAAATAGGAAAATATTTCTTCCTTCTGCTTGGCACAGCATTGTGGATCTGTAGACTTTCTAACAAGCGTAAAACTATGCAAAACCCATAAATTAATTTTGTTTTTCTTCGAGTAATTTACGCTTGTTAATTGCATGTCATCCTAATACTGGCTTAGAAAAATGCAAAAACGTGTGGGTTCGTTACATAGTACCTTTATCGAATTCACATTCACCATTGTTGCAGCAAAATTACAGAAGATTCCTTTCACAATAGAAAACTATCCTGTAAAAGATTAAATATTTTGCGTTTATTTTCATTGAAATTACAGTAAAAAATGCAATCACAGTTGTGATTTTGAAACTAAGCTACAGTCTAGAATGTTGAGCATTGCCTTTGGCCTCCCCGTAATATATTTTTAGGTATAAAGGTATAAAATGCATAATTCTTTTTTTATTTTTTAATAACTAACCTAACAGATATATTTCTTTATATCTAAAAACATTTTGAAAGCGGAAATGAACTGATGACGAAACTATGTTTACAATTTGCATGCATAAGATTTGCGCTCATGACGTATTGTCCTGTAATAGAAAACTCAAAAATTATAGCACACAAATGTGTTATTTTTAAAAGAAATTACAAAAATATAGCCCATTGGTATCGGCGTATCTCACAGTTAATAGACCGGAGGAATGGAAATACTTCACCTCATAGTAATTGTTTGTTTTCTTATGTACGGCACATTTGTATGCACACAGGAGGGCACTATAATGCTCTTGCTCAAGTGGTTGTTCAGCAATTTTCATCTATACAATATAAAAATGTCTCATAGGTGCCCGCAGTGACTCATGTGTTAAACCACATTTCATTTGATTCTAATGTACGAGTATTTCTTTCCAACTTATCAATTAATAAAGATTCATTACAACTGAAACAAAGCGCTTTCAAAACTGGCTTGTTGAAGCTTAATTATGAAGTATTTAATGTTGCTTCATGGAAATGTTTCTAAAAAGAATTTAAAATATTAAAACTAAATTTATTTCAAATCCTAATATTAAAACTAAATTTATTGACACACTGAATGCTGAAATAGCAGTGTGAAGCAGAAACCATAATTTTGTCAAATCATGATCACTGCTAAACGACAAAGGAATAACAAAACCTAATTAAGGCTAAGCTAAAAGCTAGTTGTTCGAAAATATAATTTATTTATATGTAATTTATTTTATTTCTGATAAATAAATTCGTTTAGACGTTCTCGGGAGTCTCTTGATATTCAAGCACTCAAGATGACTGCTCTATAAATATTTGATTTAATGAGGCATGTAATTTCACACTCAAAGCCAGAAAGCTTTACGAGGTATGAATATGCAAACTTTGCTAATGGTCATTTTGATCGGTTCTATGGTTCTAATATTCAACTATAGGAAAACGTGGGTTATATAACAGTGATTCAAAGATATATTGAGGTCCTAAGAGCTTAAGAAATAATTTCTTAAGGTCCTAAGAAATAATTGCTAATTTATAAGGTTAATATTATTTTTACTAATTTAATTTGTTAACGTGTGTGCAAACAGTTCAATACATGTTTTTCACGAATTGTGCTTCACATAACACTCAAGAATTACCATACGTTATTTTGCCGTTAGCACCATTTTGAGCTTTTCCTCTTGATTTCATTCTAGAAAATTTCTAATTAAGTATTTTTGCCCCTAATAATTCAATAAAGTCCGATACAATCGGAAAATCTGCGAATTCTTCATATTGTTACGAATTCTGTATTTAGTAGTTAGATACTTTTAGTAGAATTATAATTAAAATTATTTTATTTCCCCGTGCAGTGGAGAGCGTGACAAATTTTAAGAGGAAGCCAGAAATTGCTAGAACTATCTGGCGTGGCCGATTTAAAAAGCTATAAAAAGCCAGGAAATACTCTTATATGCGCCCTCAGGTCGCCAAATCTCTCGCCAAACTTTTTTGGCGAGAAACTGTACGCTGCCATATTACTATCTAAATTTTTTGTTTACATTTCGAACTTTAAGTCTAAAATGTCTCCAAAAATGCTGTTTTCACACATGAAAAATCACGTTTTGAACAAACAATTTAAGCTAAAAATCCGAAACAAAAGCAAAAAATTTAGATAGCAAAAACGTAAAGTTTCTAACCAAAAATATGTGACAAGAATCCATGTACACAGCGATATGTTAAAAAAAAAAAAAAATCTACGATTTGCACAATCCAGGCAAAGAACGAATATACGAACTACGCTCACCTCGCTTTAATAAATTAACATAACAACAATAAATTTCAAAGAATACCATGTACACAACATGCTGTTTAAACTTTAAAAAAAAATCTACGAATTGCACAATCTAGGCAACGAACGAAAATTTAATTTATTAAGGCGAGGTGTACAAACTACGCAAACCTCGCTTTAATAAATTAACATAACAACAATAAATTTCAAAGAATACCATGTACACAGCGTTCTCGTTTCAAGTTTATCTACGCATTGCAAAATCTAGACAATACGCACTAATCAACAAAAAGGACTCAAATATTAAAAAAACAATAGCGACAGAAATTCATACTAAACAAACAATGAACATAACATTCTACAAAATAAGTACAAGAATTAAATAAAATGCACTTACCATGAATGAATGATTTTTCGAACAGCAGAAATACCAATTTCATACCGCCTTTAACATGCCGCCACGTAATCACTATCCTATTTATATGACAGCCAGACACACTGTACAGAAAATTCATACTATGGTTCACAAATAAATGTTCAAAACCTTCTTTTCCTAAATCCTTGTAAGATTTCCATCCATCCGAAAAAATCAGTTGTACCAGGCTCAATCCACTATTTAATACACTGCATCAGCATTTCCCTACTTCTAACATGCACAGCCACTAAAAATAGTCTCCCAGACCCTCTTTCCACACCTCCAAATACCCACTGCCCGTCAGCAGGATGGACACAATAATATTTCAATATTTCCTTTCGCCGAACTTCGATTCATCAACTTTCACAGCTCTAACTCCCCCCCTATCTTCTCAGACACAGAGCATTATACAGAGTGGATTCGTTAACAACTCCAACATCGTACCTTTGAATACTAAACTTCTTTTGCACACAATCTAAAATATGCGACTGAAATCTTTCCATCACGTCTCTCATTGCAACACACGCCATTTCAAAACACGCACGACACGAAACAACGAGCAATTAAACTACTCCAGCAAAATATTTTTCAACATCAACAGGGCCGCCATACAACAAGCAATCGCGCCGAAAACCAGCGCAGAACACATACCGCCACATTTGGTGATATTAGGGCGCATATAAGAGTAGAGCCAAAAGCCAGAGAAATAACATCTCAGTTCAGCTGTTTAGATAGCTGCTGTTATTATTGTTGATCGGATTAGATTTCTCTGGATTGTGGATTACGTTATTGCGTGATATTGTGGTAATGTACGAATATCTCTGAGGAAAAATCCAGAGTTCTCTTATATTTCTTTTGATAATAATACAATTTATTAACCTTTTATTGGAAGTTATGTATTCAATCTATTACGAACCCGTACGCATGTAACAATATTATCTCAATGGTACACATACTATACATTGAATTTTAATGTCGTTGTCTGTGAGTGAATTTTATGGTGTTGGTGTATTTAATTATGGCAAAGCACACGAGGGCTATCTCGCCTAAGGGGAGGGATGCCTTTTCGTGGAGGACTTTCTAAGGGAAACTGGCTCGTATACACGTTACACATGGGGAAAACCACGAAAACGGCCATGCAGCCAGCCCGTTCGCGGGATTCGAACCTCGGACCGAACTACCAGTGTTCAGCGACTTTACCCGCTCGGCCGCTGGTGGGCCGTGAATTTTATGCTTCACATCTATAAGCATCATTATCGGTATCTTGGAGCTGTTTTTAAAGCCTTTGGCTCACCTATATACATTTCAATAACTCGGATTTTTTTTAACATTTCTCAAATCAAAACTTGCCTTATTTAGAGTTTACTTAATTATTTTTCCTGCTGAATCAGAAAATTTCTTTTGCGCATGTGAACCTAAATGCAGAGCATTTGGAAGAATGTAGGTGCATACCATGAATGTGGTATGCACATTCATGGTATGCACCTACATTCTTCCAAATGCACCTACATTCCATGAATGTGGTGCATTTGGAAGACTCCATGAATGTAGTATGCACCTACATTCCATGAATGGAGAACATACCATAAATGTGGTAGTATTGCTGTCATAGCTTTTTACCTGGAAGGAGGAGGACGGATATTTATTTATCCTGATACTCGCTGAATTTAACTAAAATTTTGAAAAACAAAAATCAGACTAATTATTAGCAAATTTATTTGACCGTATGTGGAAAATGTCACTCTACAATGTCAAAAGCATGAATAACAATATAAAACAGAGTGTATAATAAAAATTTCGTAATGTTAAGTCTGCTGTTTCAATGTTTACAGTTTTACCCCTTTTTTAAATTAAGCTAATAATTTCAAAAAGGAAAGTTTTTAATCATGGGATGTTTATAATCTTATTTATTACATGCAGAGGCACGGATATAAAAAATTTAAATAAAATGATTTAGCTTTATTGGTAATCCAAAAACGAATTTAATCGGAATTCCAGATATTTTAAAAATTACCTCCAAAAATGTACTTGTTCAATGCAATAAGGAAACAAAACGAATTGG